AATCACATTAATATAATTAATATTATTTTTTTATACATATTAAAAATTCTTTGATAAGTTAAAGTTTTATAATAGAAGAAATTAGATTTTTATTCACAGAGTTTTATTCGCAGTTCTTGGTTTTAAATTAATTTTTATAGTTTATATTTTTTTTATATATTTATTATATATTTATATATTTATTATATATTTATTATACATTTATATATTTATTATATATTTATTATATATTTATTATATATTTATTATATATTTCTTTGATTTATGAGAAAGCAGGAAGTTTAAGTTTAACAAGAGAGGTAGGAAAAAATCAAAGTCCACTGTTGATTATGTCGATTCGATCCGATCCTGGAGATGACTCCGTTTACTTAATGGCGCTAGTACTTTTATAGTTAAGACTGTGTGCATTGTATGCATGTGAATTACGAAAGCTACTTTGAAAGTCTATTTCGCATATGCAAATATTTGCGGAAATTGATTTCCGCGATCGTGCCATTTCGAACTCCACTCGTAATCACGAACGTTATGACGAGTCTTGTATACGCGCGGTCGGAAACTCCTCTTCTATTATCTTATTGTATGGAAGGTAGCTAAATATTTGCCGGCTCCGACACCCGTAAATGTTCCTCGTTGCAATCACTTAGCTTGCTGAATGCTTTGTGCATGTTCATCATAATTGACCGTGCTTTCAAGCCGTTTGTTGCATTTATAGCATCTCCAACCTCGGTTTAATCGTTGTGTTCTGCGTCGTTCATCTTTGTTACTACCTAGGAAATAATATTTTCAAATTTGTATCACACATTAGAAAGCATATTTGTACAGTAAGTTTTATGATATTGTATACACAATTTAGAAATGAGATTTAAATGAAAAGATCTAAGAGAAAAAGGGAAAGAAGAGAAAAGGATGGAAATTGTTAATTATATAAATTTTATCATTTTACGAAATTAAATATTAATATTAAAACATTGTATATACATCTGATTATTATTTCTTATGCGAATCTTTTTGCAAAAATATATTTTATTACTTTTTATTTCTGAGGGGGTAGGTTACTTATCTGTTTCTTTCTCCATTATTTTTTTTAACATATGTATTATCATTTTCCATTCTATTTAAATTCTTTTCTTCTCTGTGCGATTAGAAACAATAGGAGTTTATATGATTACAAGCAGCTCTGAATCAAGATAATGAATTTCTTTCCAAAGTTGGATGTCAGATCTTTTTCTTCAAATATATCTGTAAGCAAAATTATTATTATTAGCAAAGTACTGTAACATTTTCCTTCGAGAATTTAATTTATTATAAAAGAATGAAATGCATTTATAAAAGTTGATAAAAATCTAGATCTCCAGTTATGTACGTATATATGTTAAAATTTTCTAATATGTGAGTGATACTTACGTTTTTCTGAAATGATATTTTTTTTTTAATATAAAATGGTTAATCTTATTTCTCTACCTCTTATATTCTGCTGGAAACTTAATATTATAATATCATACATTACAATATTGTATACGTGCGAGAATAACTGCTTTAGAAGTACGTTTGGAAGATTTGATACTTTAATATTCATAGTAAAATTATTAATCTTATGATAATTAATGATATACATAAAATAAATGACAATTAATGATACATATAAAATATATGATTTTGATTACGTAATATTATAATAATAATAAAAAATATTGCTATTTGCATCTCGCAGAATTTATTTTCGAAATATCTGCAAATTAGCACTTGTTGTATAAATGCATAATTGTAATGTATGTTACACAAATATGTTACATGAATATTATATGCAATAGAATGTGCGATATATGAACTATGTCGTATGTTTTACGATAAATCTCATCGATCGCGAGAAACGAATCTCTCTTTTGCCTCGACGAATAATTTTTGGTTAATGGACATCGTCAATGACGAATAGTAATCCGTGGTCTGCGGCGCAAAACGATTTGGACGGATTTCAGAAATGTGTTTGCCGGAGACGCGCCGGTTTTATCGTTTCCGATGGCTTTTTTCACGCTTGATCCACATAAGCGGTCCTTAATCGACCTTGCATTGGCCGTCTCTGTTTACAAAGAGAAATGAAAAGAGCTTTCGCGTGACAGATTCTTATTTCTCCTTTCCTTTTTTACATACTTTTCTTTTTTTTTTTTATATCGAGATTCTGAACAAAGCACGATAGACAACTGCCGAAATTTCACGCACCAATTTGATGCCACCATAAATGTGATGATGTCACTTATTCAAATCTTTTTCTTTTTAATTTTATATATGATTTTTTTTTTTGTAAAATTCGCATTATTAAGAATTTTTTCCACGACATGTTGTGTTTGACAGTATTTGAGAATTATTTACACAATAAAGTAACTCTCTTATTGAATATATTTGCAATATTTTAAGAATTTAATATTTTTTAATCTTTTAAGAATATTATATTTTTATATATTTTTTTGTAAAATTCATTTTTATTTTCTTAACGAAATTTTAAATGCCTTCTAAAATTTATAAATCTAGAATATATAAAATAATATAAATGTAGAAATATTATATGTTATTAAATATATATTTTTCTTACCTTTTTAGAGCTTATTTCTCCGTGTATCGTGTTAAAATAAATTGCTTTTATTACTTGTCATTTGTAACTTCCCACTTCTAACTGCCAGCACAACTGCCGTTCGCCAGGTTCCACGTTACAGAGTCAAATAAACACAAGGAAATATTGAACTCGTATGGTTACATGTTCGTGATAGCCTTTAACTTTCATGTGTTCTTTCTGTAGAATTTAGAGAATGTGCTGCGCGCGCGATACAAATCATTGTATTTAAAATATGAATATTTAAATTAAACTAAGAATTTGAATTATTGAAATTCTCGACATTTATCTTCGAGCACGAAATTTATTTCTTCAATATTTTGACGTTATGACTTTTATCAACAGTGTAAAAGATCACATGAAAATTAGAATCGAGTAGTCAGAGTAGTTATAGGAATAGCGAAATTATTTGCAAAAGATTGATAGCTATCATTTTTTTTAATAATCGCTTTATTATTTTAATGTTATCGAGACATTTAATATTGAAAAAAAATATCTTAGTATATTATTTATCGAATTCTAAATTTGATAGAAATATTTTTACATTCTCTTTTAATCTACATTATTTCTTCCTTTTTTTTAAATTATTATTATATTATTTTACTATTAATAAATAAGGATAAAAAGAATTATTACAAATTACAATATTTTTCAGAAATATATAATCTAGTTTTTTACAGTCGTGCGGATGATTATTTCTCTCATAATATATCAATATATATTCTTATAATTTGACTTATAATTGGAATTATTGTCATCACAAATAGCTATAAATATTAATTTTATTGATGATTTATTTTTTTATTAAAAGTGAATTGTCATATTCAAAAAGATTTTATACCATTTGAAATTAATTATATGTACAATTGTTTTTGAGATATAAAAGTGATTACTTTTGTATATCACAACTAGACATAAGGCTTACATAATGAAATGCGATATAAGGGCAGCTATATCTATCTAATTGGGTAGATTTCGATACGCCATATCGTTTGATAAGACATCATAGTAAAAACATATATTCTAAGTAAAAATAAAAACATCAAGTATACATATAATGCATAACAAATAAAAATAAAAAAATTCAGACAAACTGAATTTTCGTTTGTACATTTATAAAAAAAAGCTTGGGGAGTTAATTTCACATTCAAGGAAATTCAAATTTTGCCAAAATCTTTTCCTAATAGATTTAATCTATAAATTTTTGTTTGCACATTTACATATAGTTTGAATTTTAGTTTAAAATATATTTCTTTCTATTTTACTTTTTCTTTCTCGTTGCTTCGTGAATTCGAATATATCATGCATAGAATTGTGACAATAATATAGTATGCCTATTGAATTTATTAAATATATAAAGCTATATTTTTATAAAGCTTATTGTTTCTGTAGCAAAATAAGCGAGATATACGATATGCATATAAATTTATCATAAAAATAAAAAAAATGGATTTTAGAATTCCATAAGAATGGATTTTAAAAATTATTATTTCTAAGAATATGTGCGCATATATATTAATTTATAAAGATTATTTTCGAATCAATTGCGATATATTTAAATAAATTTTTCATTTTTTTTTATTCTAAAAGTATTTTTTTTTCTTAAATTGATATTGCGTGGTCTCTTAGATTGCTAAAAATATTTCCAAAATGGTGTATTAACAAAAAAAGCCAAAAGTTATTATTAGACACAGCTTTTATTGGAGATAAGAACTAAGCAGAAAGATTACAAAGTAATAAAAAATAATTGTAAAATAACATAATAATACAATAATACACATTAATAAAATTGATGACGAAAATATTATAATTAATTGATAGATGATAAATATAAAATTAAATCAGTTCAAAAATTTTATAATAATACGAATTCCTTTCTATCTGTCGCATAACCTTACCATACAGTTCACAAAATATTTCTAAATTTTTTTATGTGAACACGATGTAATTTGAATCTCTAAAGTAGAAATATCTATAATATTAGTTGGCAAAAATAATAGGAACAATTTTTTTTTAAATATTATATATAAAATAATTTTTTAAGAATTTTAATGTAAACCAGCGAAATTAATCATTGTAATGATCTTTCCTCGTATTAAAGTAATGCGTAATTACATTTAAGTTCAATATAACAAATATCATTTTTCTTTACATCGTGTATCACATTTATTATACTAATTGCATAGATATATTTATAATATAACATTTTAATGACAAAATCGGAGATCTCTCTTTTATATTGACGAACTCAAAACTTTTTAAAGGAAATTATTGATTATAACAATATTAGATAAACGAGACTAAATTAAATGAATGAAGAAACGAAACTAAACGAATCCAAATAAAAAATCAAATATTTTCTCTATTATAAGCAATGTAAATCGAATTTACACATCGTGTATAAATAAAGGATTAATTCATCAAACTTTAAGCAAGGTGTTTAGGATGGCATCATTTTAGATGTATACTGTACTCTGGTTCCAATTCTATTAGCTTGACATATCCTACAATTAAATCTTGCGGTACACTTCTGAATTTCCTTAAACAGTCCTGCAAAAAATAATTTTTTAAAATTAATGCCCTTACAAGTATAATATCTTTTATGATATTAGTACACTTTAAAAATAAAATTTAAATATAAAAATTTCAAGCTAAATCGAAGAAAGAAACAGTAATCTATAAATGTTATTTTAACGAAACATATATGCTTAATATTATTTTAACTGCTAATGAATTTCAATAATATAACGTTGTATATTTCGCTCTTTTGTACTAGACCTTTTTCTGTAAAACATACATCTTTTCACTTATTCATATTGCGTTGTATGATCTCATCATTCATCTTCTTTCTTATAAATTCTACATTTTCAACCTTCTCTATTATTGACGCTTCGTTTGCATTCATTTTTCCAGCTGAATTAAAAAAAAGAGAGAAATTGAGAATATTAATCAAAAATTTATTCTAACAAAAAATATATTTAATATTATTTTTAATGATAATTAATGTAATTTTGAAGGAAGAGTGCAAGTTAGAAATAAAATAAAATATATCTTGATGAAATATATGCACATATAATTTTATTAGTGTTATTTTTAGTGCACGAATATTTTTTCCATAATGTTGAATGTATGTACATTTTATTCTTTTATACCTGTTAGTTGCAATAACATAAATTTATCCTACTTACTCGTTGAACCTTCTTTTTCGATATTTTCTCGTTCAGACTCGAGGGAAGCAGAAAGCTTAGAATAGCAATCTGTAACATTTATTTTGATATACATATACACATGCACACAAATTTAATGTTATTTTTAATGCAAACGTTTAATGCAAAGATTAATTTTATAATGTTGTATATATACAGGTCGTTTTTTCGTACTAGTTTTTTTCTAAATAAATAGATAAATAAATAAATTGAAAGGAATTAGGCTCTATATATATTAAACAACACGACAAGAAAACTAGCGATTAAGAGCCACAGCGGATGGTAATGCCTAAAAATTCTTTAATTGTACGCGAAAATTTAAACGAGAACGAGGCATATACATATATTTTAAGTGGTGCATTTACCAAGATATTCTTTTATTTTTTTATCCGCTTTTGTGTTCTTTTTATCTTTTGTATCTGTAATTATTATCTCCAATAATGTATTGTATGTTTTTATAATTTCATTAAGTATCTTCATCTTTTTATTTATTTCGATATTTTCATTCATATTTTCTATTTCTTTGGCTTCTATATTTTTTTTCTCCTCTTTGCATGCTGTTGTAATTTCCTTGGCTAAATCGGAAGAAAAAAACAATTATCAATCAAATTTATTTTAAACAAAACACATGTACACATAACGTTATTTTTAATCCAAACATATATATATTAATTCTATGATATTACATGCACATTTCGCTGTTCTATAGCTGGAACTGTTCAAAAAAATATATTTTTATTATTTACCTTTGAAGTCTTTGTGTGTCGTCGCTTCCTGTTTGCTTATATTTTCTAAAATTGACATTATTTTGTTCAGTTTTTCAGTCATTTGTTCAATTTTTTTATCCTGTTCTTCGATTTTCTTGTTCTTTTTTTCAAATATTTCTTTTATTTTCTTGTCAATATTTGTATTTTCACTTGTCTTTATTGTTTCTCTGGTTGTTTCTATATTTTGTTCAATTGGATCGAAAAGAGCTAGAAATGAAAAATAGTTCATAAAATTTATTTTTACAAAACGCATTAAAAATATATTTAAAAATATATTTTTATTATTTACCTTTGAAGTCTTTATCGCATTTGTGTGTCGTCGTTACTTGTTTGTTTATAAGATTCTCTAAAATTGATATTATAATGTTCTGTTTTTCACTGAGCTTTTCTATTTTTTTGTTCTGTTTTTCACTGATTTCTTCTATTTTTTTATTCTCTTTTTCACTGATTTCTTTTATTTCTTTGTCGATGTTCATATTTGTACTTGTCTGTATTGTTTGTTTGGTTGCTTCTATATTTTTTCCAACTGAATTGAAAAAAGCGAAAAATAAAAATAGTATTTTATTCAGTGACTCGAAGTAGGAATTCGCACAATTAGAAACGTTATCTATAATATTTATTTTGATAAACAATACACACCTATTTAATATATTATTTTAAATGCAACGAATATTAATTTTATAATGTATGTACATTTCGGTCTTCTATCGTTCGTCTAAATCTTTCTCTGCAGAAACATATATTTTTTGTACTTACTTTGGCGTTTCTCATATTCTTTGTTCTTTTTATCTTCTTTAATTATCTTCTTTAATTTTTTGTTCACTTTTGTAATTTTATTCTCTATCTTTTCGATTCTTTTATTGATATTTTCTATTTCTTTGGCCGCTATATTATTTTCCTCCTCTTTGTCTGCTGTTGTAATTTCCCCGGCTGAATCGGAAAAAAAGAATAATCGTCTATCAGATTTATTTTAAACAAAACATATGTACACATAACGTTATTTTTAATACAAACAAATATTAATTCTATGATATTGTGTGCACATTTCGCTCTTTTATCTGGATCTGTTCAAAAAATATTTTTATTACTTACCTTTGAAGTCTTTATCGCATTTGTGTGTCGTCGCTTCTTGTTTGCTCATATTCTCTAAAATTGATATTATTTTGTCCTGTTTTTCAGTGATTCCTTCTATTTTTTTGTTCTGTTTTTCACTGATTTCTTCTATTTTTTTATCAACATTTGTATTTTCACTTCTCTTTTCTGTTTCTTTAGTTGCTTCTATATTTTTACCAACTGAATTGAAAAAAGCGAGAAATAAAAAATAGTTTATAAAATTTATCAAATTTATTTTACTTTAGTGACTCGAAATAGGAATTCCCACAATTAGAAACGTTATCTATAACAGTTATTTTGATAAAATAAATACACACTTATTTTATTTACTTATTATTTTAAATGCAACAAATATTAATTCTATAATGTTGCATGCACAGATCGCTCTATACCTGGATTTGTCCAAAAAGATATATTTTTATTACTTACCTTTAAAGTCTTTTTCGTATTTGTGTGTCGTCGTTTCTTGTTTGCTCATATTCTCTAAAATTGATATTATTTTGTCCTGTTTTTCACAGATTTCTTCTATTTTTTTGTCAACATTTGTATTTTCACTTCTCTTTTCTGTTTCTTTAGTTGCTTCTATATTTTTTCCAACTGAATTGAAAAAACCGAGAAATGAAAAATAATTTATAAAATTTACTTTAATAAAACGCGAATATACACATACTTAACATTATTTTTAATGCTAACAAATGTTATTTCCATAACATTGTATGTACATTTCGCTCTTTTATATATTACCTAGATCTTTCTGTGCAAAAACTGGTAATACTAAATTGAAGTGGGAGTTTATTGAAAAATATAAGCTGTACAATTTCTTTTGATAAAATTCATACATACATATTTAATGTATTTTTTATGCAAACGAATATTAATTCTATAATGTTGTATGTGTATTTCACTTTTCTCTATACATGGATCTTTCATTGCAGAAATATATTTCGTTTACTTACCTTGGTAATTCTCATATACGTCGTCCTCTTCATCTTCTTCGTACTTTTTATTTTCCATATCTTTACTCATCTCGTTTATTTTTTTGTCCGCTTTTGTCTTTTTACTCACTTTCCTTACTTTTTTGATCACTTCTGTATTTGTTGTCATCTTTTCTGTTTCTTGAGCCGCTTCTACATTTTCTTTTACTTTCTTCATTCGTTTGACTGCTTTCACATTTTTCTCGGCTGAATAGAAAGAGGGGAAATTGAGAAAAAATATTTATAAAATTTACTTTTACAAAACACTTATACATATACTTAACGTTATTTTCATTGCTAATGAATGTCAATTTCACAATATGTACATTTCGCAATTTTATATATTTTATAGATCACATATTTTTTTATGCAAAAGCATATATTTTTTCACTTACTTTTCTCTTTTCCATTTTCCTTGTCCGATTCAACATTTTCTGGTGCAAGCACGAAATTCCAACAATATCCAGAAATGTTAACTGTAAAATTTATTTTGATGAGACACATACTTAATGCTATCTTTGATGGAAACAGATATTAATTCCATAATGTTGTAAGTAATGTTGTTTCGTCGTTTTATACTTGTGTGTGTGCTTGTGTGTGTATATGTATGTATGGATCTAGCTTTGTAAAAATATTTTCTTTTTACTTACCATCGTACTCGTCTTCATCTGTATCTTCATTCATCTTCGCTATTTGTTTCCTCTTTATATTTTCGCTCATTTTCTCAATCTTTTTGTCCGCTTCTGTATTTTTATTTATCACTTTTGTTTTTTTGTTCGCTTCTGTATTCTTATTCATCGCTTTTATATTTTCTTTCATCTTCTCTATTTCTTGGCCCTCTTATATATTTTCTCCTACTAAATCAAAGAAAGAGAGAAATTAAGAACAATTATCTATAAAATTTATCTTGACAAATCACATGTACACGTACTTAATATTATTTTTAATATTATTTTTTGAAATATTGCCGTAATATTATACGTACAGTTTGTTCTTTTATATTTAAATTTTTGTTTTTAAAAATATATATTTATTTTATTTACTTTTGTCTTCTTTATTTTTTTTGCCCGCTTCTATATTTTCGCTTATCCTTTCTATTTCTCTTTCTACTTCTATATTTTCACTCGTCTTGTCTATATTTTTTTATCCGTTTGTGTATTTTTACTCATCGTGTCTATTTTCTTTAATTGTATATTTTTATTTCTTGTTAATTATTTTAATTAAAATTTTTTGGTTAAAACATGATTCTATAAATAGAAGCAAAATTACATAATTATTGACAAACCGTTCCAAATTATACATTAACTTATTTATGATGAACGCAAGTGACTGAGTCTTTTCGGTATGTATAGCTTTTATAAATGAAAAATTGTATATATAATCAAGTGATATATTAACATTTTCTTTTGATGGAAAGTTTAATTTACCGAAAGTATTTTCATTTTCTAAAATTACATTTGATTAGAATTTAATTTATTGAAAGTAATCTTGTTGATGTATGATTATCTTTTGAAATGCGAGTGATATTTGGAGTTTAAAAGATAAAGGAGAGCTATAATTTTATATTATTTTCACTTAAAACCTCACGCGTAATCACATTCATGTTTATATTGTCTTCTATTATTTCGTTGATTAATTAAAAATTTTTCTTTATGTGTTATATACTTTATAAAATTTGATAAACTTCCAGCTTTGTTTAACCTCATTTAAATATAAAATTTGAGATTAAATATTAAACTTCTAGCTTTGTTTAACCTTATTTAAAAGAAACTCGAAACACTTAAAATTGCATATCATAATAAATATCTCGGTAATATTCTGATAATAAAATCCCGTGTGTATATAATTCCCTAAAAAACTAAGAGCACCTAACTTATTTTTTACTTAATTTCGATATTTAAAAAAAATATAAATAGCAACTTTTTTATATAAATATAAATATATATAATTATATAAGTTACTAATATGAATAATTTTTTTATATAAGCATAATACTTAAATTGGAATAATAATTTCGATTCTTTCTTCTTCATTTATGTATATCTCTTAATTCATATAATGCGTATGTAAGATATACTCACATAATACATGCACTTTTATGAATAACTCGGTTTGTCGAAAAATAGTAAGAATTGTATATAAATATATTCTTTAAATAGTATATAAGCATTATATATTTTTTAATTTTTATTAATTAAACAATATATATATTTCATAAATATTTTCCACATATAATTCTTGTTATTTTTTTAATAAACTAAGTTATTTGTAAAGATATGTATTTTATATGAATTATCTGTCTCTTATATACGTAACAGTGATAACAACATGGGCTACCCATTAAACACAAAGCAATACAATAATATAACGTTAATGTTATAATTTCTCATTCAACAATATGTAATTATTGCATATTACATTGCAATTACATTGCTCAATGGAAAATTATAATATTAATGCACAGTCTCCTATATACACCGTTAATATCGATATCGATAATAACGTTAAATATATAAATCACTTTAATCATTAAAATCATTAAAATCATTAAAATCATTAAAATCATTAAAATTATTAAAATCATTAAAATCATTAAAATGGGGCGTCATAAATAGGCCACCATAACGCCACGTGGTAACATCGCTGGGCTAGTATAATGTATAAAAATCTATGCATTAATGTTATATTATTTTTGCTATATGTTTATCAATTAATTTTCTTATAGTATTATACGAACCGTCACACAGGAACGATCACAGAGAGTTACACTGTTACTTTATGTTTTAAGACTAAAGCGTGCGTGCTTTAAAAAAATTTCGTCAGAAATGTGCCGGGCACACTACTCGAGTACTGTTAGCGCGATCTTTCGTCAAATACTCAACTAAGAATACTACTATTACATTTGCACCACATTTATATGTGTCGTATAGGAGTATATATGTAGTGCGCACTAGGGATGTTAAATATCGATACAATTTGCTTGTCGATCCTATCGATAGTTCTGAGGAGCTTTCTCGATTCCATCAACAAATATCGATAGTTTTAACAATTGTTTATGTTTATTTTTTTTAAGCTTTAGATTCTCTAGATTGCAAATAATTTTATAATTAAACAAAAACAAGTTATAAGTATTATAAACAGGCTCCAAGAAGACTATAAGCATTATAAAGACAAATTATAATTACCGTCAAAGACCGCGTTCAGAAATCCTACCAGTGGGGTATAGTGATATTTAACCTACCCAACGGGGTCGAGGAATTTACTCCTTTTGTCCTGATTGATCGATTTGATGTTACTTTACCTTGCGAGTAAGATTTCTGAACGTAGTGATGAATTTTATATTATTATTATGGAAGATATTTATTATAAACCTGGGGCCCGATTTTTATCCATATGAAAACTATCGATAGTTATGGATAGATTATTTTCCTTGTCGATAACTATCGATTGTTAGTGCTTGTCGATAGTTAAAAAATAATAAAAAAAAAAATCGATAAACTTTGCATCCCTGGTGCGCACAACACTACTTTGTGCATGTGCTTTTTTAGAGATGGGGAAATATTATTCTATCCCGTTTCGACCAGATAGTTTTTGCTCCGTGTCTGAATAGAATGGGGATGGGATAAAGATTACCTGCTATGATGGGACTCGAAACTCGGACCTTCCGGTGGTATCGCACGCGTTCGCTGATTCATTTTGCGGGATGTTTCGTGTGTTAGTACATAAGCCATCATTATTCATTGATAGACTCGACATAATAGTGTAGGTGATAAATTAGATGGCTGTAATGCAAATTGCGCCAGGCGATTTTCCATGAATGAACGCGCACGTATTGCACGTTGAGCTTTAATTTACTCGCGAGCGAACTTACTTGCGAAAGATAAGGAGAAGGGGAGGGGAAGGATGTATTATGACAATTGCATCTAGCGAAGGAAATGATGTGTGTGTATGTGTGTATGTGAGAGGTCACAATATTTTCCCTACGTTATATGGATGTTCGTCGTTTATCGAACGACCTTTGTTATTGCAAAAGTCGACAATGGGCGCTTATAATGTATAATATATGAGCGCAGAGTTGCCATCTTTTTTCATTAGATTGTTATATATTTATTGAAATATTTTATTGTATCTTGACCAAATTTCGCCTCAATTTAATTTATAGTGGAAGCGATGACAATTATGTTTTGCACTAATTTTTCAAGGAATATATAAATAAATTAATTAAAACCTCTATTTTTCTTTTTTTTTTGTTATTTTTGAAAAGATTTCCAACCATATGTTATCCTGAACAAACATGATATGCGTGAATCGTTAATGGCGAGTCTGGAGTATAAATTCTGTCGGTTTTAAGTATAAATTCGTAGCTTATTCGTTTCCGCGATACGTCGGGCTTTCAAATTATTTTGCAATTAATTTCATATTTTTAACAGTTGCACACGTTAAACTAATTAAGTTAATTGTATAGGATTAACAAAAAAAAGGAGGGAGTTTCTGTTTATTACTTAAGGAGTCGAGTTAGGGTAGAATAAAATGATAAATATATCATGTATAGAGTTATGATAACAATATAGCATGCCTATTAAATTTATTAAGCTGTATTTTTATAAGGCTTTATTGTATCTATTGCAAAATAAGCGAGATACATACAACGATACATAAATTTATCATAAAAATCAAACTTTACAAGAATGGATTTTAAAAATTATTTCCAAACATTAATTGTTCGCGAAAAAATTTTTTTAAGACGTGCACAAGGCATTTATACATATATTTTATTTGGTGTATATGCCAAGTTATAGATTCTCTTGGTTTGAGACTTCTATAACACTCTCTTTACTCTCCTGAAGAGATGTAGACAGGAAAAATATCGGGGCGAAATCGCTGAATCGGGAATCGAACCCGAATCTTTCACTTGCCGGGCGACTGCTCTTATCACTGAGCTATTCAGTCCGACACTTCTCCTGTCCGTTTTTATTAATCTATGGAAATAATGAGAACACGATCTTTTTAGCTCCGCGTGTAGTTCTAAATAAATTTATAAAGAATACGGCTCTATGTATTTAACAACATGATAATTATGAAACGAGCGATAAGAGCCTAAAAACGCGGATGGTAATGCGGATGGTAATTTTTTTTTCCAAACATTAATTGTTCGCGAAAAAATTTTTTATAAATTCTGCCGTATTCTTAATATTTTCCCTACATTATATGGATGTCCATCGTTTATCGAACGACATTTGTTATTGCAAAAGTCGACAATGGGTGTTCATAGTGTACAATATATGCGCAGAGTTGCCATCTTTTTTCATTAGATCACTATATATTTATTGAAATATTTTATTGTATCTCGACCAAGTTTTGCCTCAATTTAATTTATAGTGGAAGCGATGACAATTATATTTTGCACTAATTTTTCAGGGAATATATAAATAAATGTATTAAAACTTCTATTTTTCTGTTTTTTGTTATTTTTGAAAAGATTTCCAACTATATGTTATCTCGAACAAACATGCTATGCGTGAATCGTTAATAGCGAGTTTGGAGTGTAAATTGTGTCGGTTTTAAGTATAAATTTGTAGCTTATTCGTTTCCGCAAGTCGTGCGATTCGTTGGGTTTTCGAATTATTTTCTAATTAATTTTATATTTTCAAGAGTTGCACACGTTAAGCTAATTAAATTAATTAATTAAATATGTTTAGGATTAACAAAAAATCAAACTTTACAAGAATGGATTTTAAAAATTATTATTTCCAAGAATATGTGCGTATGTATATTAATTTATAAAGATTGTTTTCGAATCAGCTAACTGCGATATATTTAAATGAATTTTTTATTTTTTTTATTATAAAGTATTTTTTTTTCTTTAATTGATATTGCGTTTCTTAAATCACTAAAAATATTCACAAAATCGTATTAAGAAGAAAAACTAAGTTACGTTTAAATATAGTTTTTATTGGAGGTTAAAGCTAAGCAGAAAGATTACAAAATAATAAAAAATTATAAGTAACATAATAATACAATAATCAGTACACATTAATGATTGAAATTGATGACGAAAATATTATAATTAATTGATAAATGATAAAAAATATAGAATTAAATCACTTCAAGAGTTTTATAATAATACGAATTTTTTTCTATCTATCGCATAACCTTACTATATAGTATACAAAATATTTCTAAATTTTTTTGTGAACACGATGTAAATTTGAATCTTTAAATTAGAATATTAGAATATTATAATATTAATTGGCAAAAATAATAGTAAATAATTTTTTTTAATATTATATATATAAAATAATTTTTTAAGAATTTTGAAACAAGTGAAATTAATCGTTATAATGATTTTTCTTCGTATTAAAGTAATGCGTAATTACATTTAAGTACAACATAAGAAATATCGGTTTTTCTTTACATCGGGTATCACATTTATTATACCAATTGCATAGATATATTTATAAATTTATACTAATTGCATAGATATATTTATAAATGTATACTAATTGCATAGATATTTATAAATTTATAAATTTATACTAATTGCATAGATTTATAAATTTACTAATTGGTAATAGATATATTTATAACATCTTAATGACAAAATCGGAGATCTCTCTTTTAAATTAAAAGTTTGTCGAAGGAAATTATTGATCATAAAAATATCATAATTATATAAGGTAATGATGATCATAATTAAAATATCATAATGATATTTTAATTGAAAACGAATTTTTTTCTATCTATCGCATAACCTTACTATATAGTATACAAAATATTTCTAAATTTTTTTGTGAACACGATGTAAATTTGAATCTCTAAATTAGAAATATTTGTAATATTAATTGGCAAAAATAATAGTAAATAATTTTTTTTAATATTATATATATATATATATGATAATTTTTTAAGAATTTTGAAGTAAACAAGTGAAATTAATCAGTGTAATGATCTTTCTTTGTATTAAAGTAATGCGTAATTACATTTAAATTCAATATAACAAATATCAGTTTTTCTTTACATCGTGTATCACATTTATTACACTAATTGCCTAGATATATCTATAATATCACATTTTAATGACAAAATTAGAGATTTTTCTTTTAAATTAAATGAACTTAAAAGTTTGTCGAAGGAAATTATTGATCATAACAATATTATATAAATGAGATTAAATTAAATGAATAAAGAAACGAAACTAAACGAAATCAAATAAAAAATCAAATATTTTCTCTATTATAAGCGATGTAAATCGATTTTACACATCGTGTATAAATAAAGAGCTAACTCATCAAACTTTAGGCAAAGTGTTCAGGGTGGCACCATTGTAGATGTATACCGTATTTTGGTTGCGATTTTATTGCTTGTCATATACTACTATTAAATCTTGCGGGCTTCTGCATTTCCTTAAACAGTCCTGTAAAAAACAAATTTTTAAAATTAATGCCATTACAAGTATAATATCTTTTATGATATTAGTACACTTTAAAGATAAAATTCGAATATAAAAATTTGAAGTTAAATCGAAGAAAGGAACAGTAATGTATAAGTCTGTTATTTTAATGAAACATATATGCTTAATGTTATATTTTTAGTGCTAACGAATTTCAATAATGTAACGTTGTATATTTCGCTCTTTTACTAAATCTTTTTCTATAAAACATACATCTTTTCACTTACTTATTTTTTTTCATGATCTCATCAATCATGTTCTTTATTGTGCTCAATTGTGCATTTGTATCCTTTTCTATTATTGACGCTTCGTTTGTATTTACACTCATTTTTCCAGCTGAATTAAAAAAAAGAGAGAAATTGAGAATATTAATCTAGAATTTATTCTATAAAAGATATATTTAATATTATTTTTAATGATAATAAATATAATTTTGAAGGAGGAGTGCAAGTTAGAAATAATCATAAAATTTATCTTGATGAAATATATGCACATATAGTTTTGTTAGTGTTATTTTTAATGCACGAATATTTTTTCCATAATGTTGAATGTATGTACATTTTATTCTTCTATAACTATTTTATTAGTTGCAATAACATATATTTTTCCTACTTACTCGTTAAACCTTTTTCTATATTTTCTCGTTCAGACTCGAGGAAAGCGGAAAGCTTAGAATAGTAATCTGTAAAAGTTATTTTGATGTACATATACACATGCATACATAGTTAATGTTATTTTTAATGCAAACGTTTAATGCAAACATTAATTTTATAATGTTGTATGTGCATTTCGTTCTTTCGATACTTATTTCTTTTCAAAATAATAGAAAAATAAATAGAAAAATAAATTGTTATTACTTACCTTCGAAGCTTTTATCTTCTTTGTACGTTGTTTCTATAGATTTTCTCAAATTCTCTAAGAAACATAGTTTTTTTATCGCTTCTGTATTAATTTCTCTATTGATTTCTTCTATTCTTTTATCCGCTTTATTGACTTTTTTATCTTTTGTGTCTGTAATCTTCTCCAATATTGTTTTGCACGTTTCTGTAATTTCATTCATTTTCGCTTCTAATTCAATATTTTTACTCTTATTTTCTATTTCTTTGGGCGCTTCTATATTTTTTTTCATCGTCTCTGTTTTTTTACCTGCTATTATAATTTCTTCGGCTGAATTGGGGGAAAAAAAATTATCTATGAAGTTTATTTTAACAAACTACATGTATACATACTTAATGATAATTTTTAATGCAAACAGCAATTTATAGAATTAATTTGCAGAATATTTATAGAATTAATATTCAAACGCATATTAATTATATAATATTGTATGAACATTTCGCTGTTCTGTGGATCTTTCTTTGCAGAAACATATATTTTTTTTTACTTACATTGGCATCCTGTAATTTCTGCGGCCCCTTCTAGATCTTCTAGGTCTTCCATTGATTTGAAGTAGGAATCCAGAAAATTATGAATTTTATCTATAAAATTTTGATGAAATAAATATACATATTTAATATATTATTTTAAATGCAACAAATACTAATTCTATAATGTTGTATGTATGTTTTGTTCTTTCATGTCTGAATCTATCTATGCAAAAACATATTTTTTTGTACTTACCTGGGTATGTTTCAGATTCTTTGTCCTTTCTATCTTCTGTGTATTTAATTACCTCCTTTCTTTTTTTGATTGGTTTTATATTTTCATTTATTTTCTTTATCTTTTTTTCGATTTCGGTATTTTCATTCATACTTTCTATTTCTTTGGCCGTTTCTATATTTTTTTTCATCGTCTCTTTTTTTTTACCCGGTATTATAATTTCTTCGGCTGAATCGGGGGAAAAAAAAATTATCTATGAAGTTTATTTTAACAAACTACATGTATACATACTTAATGATTTTTAATGCAAACAGCAATTTATAGAATTAATTTGCAGAATATTTATAGAATTAATATTCAAACGCATATTAATTTTATAATATTGTATGAACATTTCGCTGTTCTGTGGATCTTTCTTTTTGCAGAAACATATATTTTTTTTTACTTACGTTGGCATCCTATAATTTCTGCGGCCCCTTCTAGATCGATTTTCAATGAGTTGAAGTAGGAATCCAGAAAATTATAAATTTTATCTATAAAATTTATTTTGATGAAATAAATATACACATATTTAATATATTATTTTAAATGCAACAAATACTAATTCTATAATGTTGTATGTATGTTTTGTTCTTTCATGTCTGAATCTATCTATGCAAAAACATATATTTTTTTGTACTTACCTGGGCATGTCTCAGATTCTTTGTCCTTTCTATCTTCTGTGTCTTTAATTACCTCCTTTGTTTTTTTGCCTGCTTTTATATTTTCATTCACTTTCTTTATCTTTTTGTCGATTTCGGTATTTTCATTCATACTTTCTATTTCTTTGGCTGCTTCTATATTTTCTTTCTCCTCTTTGCCTGCTGTAATTTCCCCGGCTAAATAGGAAAAAAAGAACAATTGTTATTTTTAATGCAAATATTAATTTTAAGATATTGCATGCACATTTTGCTCTTCTATATCTGGATCTGTTCAAAAAATATATTTTTATTACTTACCTTTGAACTCTTTATCGTATTTGTTTGTTGCCGTTTCTTGTTTGCTCGGATTCTCTAAAATTGACATTAATTTGGCCAATTTTTCATTTATTTCTTCTATTTTTTTGTTTTGTTGTTCATTGATTTCTTCCATTTTTTTGTTTTGTTCATTGATTTCTTCCATTTTTTTGTTTTGTTGTTCATTGATTTCTTCCATTTTTTTGTTTTGTTGTTCAGTGATTTCTTCCATTTTTTTGTTTTGTTGTTCAATGATTTCTTCCATTTTTTTGTTGTATTTCACTTGTTTTTCACTCATTTGTTCTATTTTTTTGACGATGTCTGTATATTCACTTGTCTTTATGGTTTCGCTGGTTTCTTCTACATTTTCTCCAACTGAATTGAAAAAAGCGAGAAATGAAAAATAGTTTATAAAATTTATTTTAACAAAACGCGAATATACACATACTTAACATTATTTTTAATCTAACAGATATTATTTCCTTAACATTGTATGTACATTTCACTCTTTTATATGTATATATTTAGCAAAAATATATATATTTTTTGTACTTACTTTTGTCTTTTTTATTTTCTTGGTTCGATTCTCTCTTTTTTCGGGCGCGATATTCGTCCTCATATTTCCTCATAAATGCAAGGCAATCTACAAAATTTTCTTTGATAAATTTACATGCATACATACTTAACAATTTATTTCTAATACAAACGAATATTAATTCACGAATAATAATATTATATTCACATTTCGCTCTTCTATACCTGAATCTTTGCAAAAATATATAATTTTTAATATTCACCAAAATATTGTTTTTCATATGTGTCTTTATATTCCTTATATTCGTCCTTATATTCCTTCTCAAATGCAATTTGATGCATTTCATGTAGAATTGTTAGTGCTCTTATCCAGTTATCATTTTCAACCGATGGTTCCATTTCATAATCTCCAAAAATACTTTCTATTTTTTCGGTTTCCGTATCTTCTCCGGCTGAATCGAAAGAAAGGAAAGAAATAAAAAACTGTTATTTATAAAATTTATTTTTACAAAATACTTATACGCATATTTAATGTTATTTTTGCTAATGAATATTAATGTTATGATATTGTATGTTTCGCTCTTCTATCTTATTATACTTTAAATCTTTATTTGCAAAAATATGTACTTTTTTTTTACTTACTTTTGCCTTCTTTATTTTCGTCGTTCGATTCTACATCTTTTTTTATCTTGAAGATTGAGTACAATTCAGAAATATAATCTACAAAATTTGATAAAATACATACATACATACTTTATATAATGTTATTCTTGATATAAACGAAGATTTTTATAATTAATTCTATAATTCTACAATTATGTTATATATTTCGGTCTTCCATATACCTGTGTGGATCTTTCTTTGCAAAAATATATAAATTTTTTTTTGTTACCTTGGAACTGTTTCTTGTCCACCTCCATTTCATCTTCCTCATCATCTTCATCTGATCCACTTCCTGTCAGCCTTTTTATGAGCTTTTTCAATCTTACATCTTTTAAAATTGTTTCCCAAGGAGGCAAGTCAGGTGTATTGTAATCATCTTTTTTTAACAAGTTTATATTTTGCGGTTGAATGAAAAAAAAGAAAGATTAGGAAAAATTATCTATAAAATTTGTCTTACATATGTATATATATATATATATATATATATATATATATATATATGTACATAATAAAACACATGTATATATATATGTATATATATATGTACATAATAAAACACATGTATACATACATACGTACGTATAAGATCCTTATATGCAAAAACATATTTTTTTACTTACTTAAGAATTCCCTCCAGTTGAATTTCGCAGATGGAGTTACCGAATAAGAGACCGATGTAGAAGCTACATATAAAATTTATTTTGATGAAACACATATACGAATATAACGAATATTAATTTATAATGTTGTATGTATACATTTCGTTCTTTTACTTGATGCTGCGTGCGTGTGTGTATGTGTATGTGTGGATCTTGCTTTGCAAAAATATTTTTTTTACTTACCTTCGTCCTGCTTATCATCTTTATCCTCTTTATCTCCCTCGTACTTTTTATTTTCAGTAGCTTTATTGACTTCCTCGGTTCCTTCGACCTCTTTTATTTTTTCTCCTGTTGAATTGAAAAAAGAGAGAAATTAGGTACAAAATTATCTATAAAATTTATCTTTACAAAATTAGATGCGCATACTTAATGTTAATGAATATTAATTACATAATATACATTTCGTTCTTTTTATATATGCCAAATATCTTTTTGTGCAAAAACATACATATATATATATATATATATATATATATATATATATATATATTTTTTTTTTACTTACTTTTTTCTTTGCTTTTTTCTTTGCTTTCCTTTGATTCTGTATTGTTTGGTATTAATACAAAATGACAACACAATTCAGGAATAAACACTATAAAATTTATTTTGTTAAGACATATATACACACATACTTAATACTATTTTTGATGGAAAGAAAGACAGATATTAATTCTATGTATAATGTTGTATGTACATTCCTTCTATATTTTGTGTGTGCGTGTGTGTGTATATGTGTGGATCTTGTTTTGCAAAAATATTTTTTTGTCACTTACCTTCGTCATCCTCATCTTTTTCGTATTTTTTATCTTCTGTTCTCTCTCTACTCATCTTCGGCATTTTGTTGCTCGGCTCTTTAGTTTCGTTCATTTTCTCAATCTTTTTGTCCATTTGTGTATTCACTTTTGTTTCTTTGGCCGCTTTGAAATATTCGCTACTTATAATTTTCCTTTTTTGGCCCTCTTTTATATTTGCTCCTACTAAATCAAAGAAAGAGAGAAATTAAGAACAATTATCTATAAAATTTGTCTTAATAAAACACATGCACATATACTTAATATTACTTTTAATAACAAATATTAATGCCGTAATATTATATGTACAGTTTGTTCTTCTTATATTTAGATTTTTATTTTCAAAAATATATATTTATTTTATTTATTTTATTTATATTTATATATATTTTATTTATATTTATTTATATTTATATTTATTTTATATATATTTATTTTATTTATTTTATTTATTTATATTAAAAATATATATTTATTTATATCTTTGTTCATTCTTTCTATTTCTTTATTCGTTTTTGTATTTTTACTCATCGTGTTTATTTTTCTTTAATTGTATATTTTTGCTCTTTGTTAATTATTTTTAATTAGAATTTTTTGCCAAAATCTAATTCTATAAATAGAAGCAAAATTAATAAATATTGACAAACCGTTCCGAATTATACATTAACTTTTTTAAGTGACTGATTCTTTTTTGTATGTATAACTTTTATAAATGAAAAATTGTGTACGTGATATGTATATGATATTTTGACAATTCATAAATTATAAATATTAATATCTATTAAAATAAAGCGAAAATAGAAATGTACTTTTAGAAAAAAATTACACAAATTACACAGAATAGGAAATCTAGATATTTTATAGAAATTTATTGAAAAAATTTAAACGTTATTAGTAATTTAATATTGTGTGTATTAATATGTATGAAAAAGAAGGGAAGGAAGAAAATTAATTGTTTATTTAATAATGTATTTATGAAATATAATTTATATATATTTTTCACTTGAAAGTTTTAACGTTGGCTTTAACATTTATAGCAATAATAATCTTCTTGTGATGATAAAATTAATGATGCATATTTCATATGTGATATTTACGCTAATAATAATATTAATATTTGAGTCGTAGAATTTATTCACAAAGTATTTAGAAATTAACATACGTTTCTAACACGTGTTACACGTGTCCATACTCATATATGTCACATAAATATTTATGTATAATACAGTGGAATCTTGTTTGTCTACCGGGTGTCTTGTAAATCCTATCGCTCTCAGGGAAACATCCCTCTTTTCTATTACAACGAATACAGTTAGACATTGGATTAATGAACATCGTTAACGATTATTAGTCGATCTGGCCAGATTCCAGAAGCATTTGAAGACGCTGATTTTATTGTCTTCCAATGACTTTGATTCACACATGCTTAATCGATTTAGCTGTCGTTCGCAATCACATAATTATTTTTATTTTATTCTCTCTTTTAGATATAATTTGTTGTGAAATTTTCATGTATTCTCTCAGCTTAAAATTGCAGAAAGTAAGGTTGCACGAGATACCAAGATTAGTCTTGATATTGTCTTGTCTTGTTTTGAATTTCAAGACAAGATCAAGACAAGATTTTTAATTAGTTATCAAGACTAATACCAAGACTAAGACTGTCAAGATTATTAGTCTTGTCAAGATGATTGGTTCTCAAAAAAACTAAAATATTTATATTTGTAAATGAAAAATCACTATATACGAATTTAAAAAAATTTTATTCAATAAAAACATTTATATTAATAAATTTAAAAACATTTAATATTAATACAATATAACATTTTTATAAATTAGAAATCAAACTCGCAAATTTTAGACATTAAAGAGCATTTCACCCAGGAATTGATGCACATTAGTGCTTTTAAAGATTTACTTTGTAATCTGGTTCTATTTTTTGACATCGTCAGAGTTCCTACTGAGAAAAGTCTTTCTACTGAAACGGACGAGACAGTTGAACTTAAAATGTCTCGAGCCATTTTTGACAATGTGGGATAAATATGAACCTGATTTTTCCACCACTCCAAAATATTTATATCTGCACATTCTCTTGGAGTCTGTAAATAGTTATTAATTTCTGTTTTCCATGAAACAGTAAATGTTTTTTTATGTAAATAGACGACATTTATATCGATTACATAGTAATAATTATAATTAAAATATAATACAATAGTAATAATTATTTCAAATTATATTACAAAAATTATGTTAAATATTATTTAAATAATTTTTTAATATTAGATAAAAAATTGTTAATAAAATCGAGACAAGACAATACAAGACGAGATTTTTGCTACCAATATTCACTCAAGACCAAGACAAGATTTAAATTTTTCAAAATTTTCAATACCTATACAATATTTTTACGAATATTGTCTTATCTTGGGTCTTGTGCAACCCCAGCAGAAAGGGAGCGTATTATTTAATTCAACCGTCATTTTTTGCGCGTATCTCGCGACTCAAGATTGTTCGTCCTCGCTCGATACATATTTATAATTCGCGGAATTGTCGGAAATGTGCACCGAAAAGGTATCTCGCGATAATCGTGTCGGATGAAACTTTGATCGTCCGCTGCAAGGTTTTACACGCGAGCAGCTTAAGTAAATCTGCGTGCTTGATGAAGGCAGATGAACGGACGGACATCGCATCGATAATTTCTATCCCGGAGCGATGTGCGGAAGGTCAATTATGAATTATGCGAAGCTATCGCCCCGGAAGCCCCGGTCATCGAGCGCAGGCCGGGGAGAGGGGAGGAGGAAGGGAGGAGGGGGAGTCTAGAACCCGGTAATTGCTAACAGAAATTGACGTCGTTTAAAGATACAATGCAAACGTGACGTTCTCTATTATCGAAACGAACCCTCGATAGTTAGCGTGCAATCGAGAAATGGCGAGCTCGAGAGGGGGGCTTTAACAGCTCTTCCGTGTTATTAAACGCGCGATTTTTGCAGGTCGCTCCACGCTTAATAGTCGTCGCGTTTATGATAAAGAGAAAAAAAAATATGTCGCAAATCGCTCCGCGCGCACTTCGATTTATCGTTGCAGTAATAATGAGGCATGATCGAAAGGTCGAGGATCACTATTTTTCAATAAAACACTTTCGAAATATGAATATTGTTATACTATTTTTTAAATATTCCAATTAATATACCAATTTAGTAAATAATTTCTTTAATATTCCAATTCATATATTAATTTTTTATATAATTTTATATAATTTTATTATATTATTTTATATTTTTTTTATTTTATTATATTATTTTATATTCTATATTTTTTATATTATTTTATATAATTTCATATAATTTTATTATATTATTTTATATTAATTATTTATATAATTCTTTTATATATTAATAATTAATTTTTTAATATTCCAATTAATATACTGATTTTTAATATTCCAATTAAGTAATAGTCGAATAATTTATTCGCGATTTAAAAACAGAAACAAAATAAATCCTGCTATTGGATTTTACTCAAAAAAAATGAAGATATGAAGGAAATAGATGGACGTTATCCGGTGGAAAGAATACCAGAGTGCAATGAAACATCAAGAGCTCATATAAATATCTCCTTAGACTCGAACTATTTCCTCGTGCCAACGGAAGAAACAATTCTGACAACTATTCGCCATTTCTCATTACGAATGCGGTAATTCGACCAGAGTTGCACGCGATATCCGCCGGTTATCTTGTATAACACGCGAGTGAAAAGCGCCCATCGTGGGACTTTGCGGGGGCACTCGTTAAGATTAAACGAGCACTCGGACGCCCACGCAAAATACGCGAGGCACGTGTGCGTCGCGTTTGTAAACTCACCTTTATCGATCATGCCGTGTCTTTTGAGGGGGACTGTGTTTCGAAGAAGATGAAAAAAAGCGCTTCCGATGCTCGGTCTGGCCGAGAACGTTATCGATCTCTCGAATCTGTCGTATTTTTAAATTTTTTTAAAATTTCTTTTAATTTAATTTAATTTTTATTTTTTGACATAAGGAGACTGAAAACAAGCAACTAGTAAAAGAGAGATTCCAACTAAATATTACTAATTTGTTAAAATTATTTCTCTGGATATTTAAATAAATATATATATATAATTAATACATATTAATTAATATAAATTTATATATATATATATATATATATATATATATATAATTAATACATATTAATTAATATAAATTTATTAATATTATTATTGCAAATATTATGTACATTTAACGTAGAAAATTTATGAGATAGATGAAATTATTTGTTGAGTATAAGCATTTGGACGTAAAATAAATTTGCAGCTTTCGTAATTTTTGACGGATGGAAATGAATGATAAATATAATAATTTAATAATAATAATTTAATACGTATAATAATGACGATAACGATAAGCCTTTTTTTTAGTAATCTTCCTCTTTTTTTTTATATCAAAATTGCCCGTGTTTGAAAGTTTAATCACTCAGGATGATAAATATGTTATCATTTAAATACTAAATATGTTATTATATTATATCATTTAAATATTAAACACGTCTCATAAATATGTCATCATTTAAATACTAAAATCTGCACTTGATCAGAAGTGTTTCTCGTGAAAACATGATTCTAAATCGATGCGAACTATGGTATCGCGCAAAATTGCACGAGACAAATATAATTATATAATATGTGCATCGCGAAGTAAAATTACAGATATATTCGCTTTAATTTTGATTAATCAATATGTAAACAAATTATCGTAAATTATTTTTCCCGTCGAGTTTTTTTGAAAAATCCTCTTCAATCTTGCCCGATCTCCATCACAAGCGTTATCATGTGTTGCTCGATTCATGAATTTTAATCGGTATTATATCTGAAAAGCGCGTTCGATGGACTCGCTTCGCCTCATTTACGAGCAACTCGTTCGAATAACTTGTTGTAAGTCAGTGTTGAAAGTTTAAAACCGGGTTATACCGCGAGATAAAGAGATGTTGCATCATATCTATGGTGTTTTCCCATATACGAGGCGTCTAATGGGACAGACGATAATGAAAACAAATGATCTTCGCCATCGTCCAAGACTATTTAATAGTACGATAATGTTGCGTTTGACATATATAACGAATTAATTCGCGAGTTTGAAATTTTACTCCGAAAGAGAGAAATTCGCCACCGCGCGA